GCTGGTGGGACACCGTCAACAAAGCCACCTGAACACCATAGAGATGGTGATACCCGCGTCAAAATACCAGACGCGAAGCGCCAAGGAGAAGGCCGAACCAGTCACGGACAGGACCGATTCGGCCTGCTGAAAGAGGCGGAGCCTCAGAAAAAACGCCCCGGGTTTGGACACCTATCAAGCAGCGTCTGAAAAGAAGGCCGGGCCGGCCACCATGGAACCATAAGGACTGTTCTCGTGGGAATGGGCTGCAACCGAGCCAGAATCCGAAGCAACAGCTAGACCAGGAGAAGACGAACAGGTACCCCCACCTCGACCAGTCCTGCCGAAAGCATCCACGTGAAGTCCTCGCAGGTGGGAAAGGGCGCCACAAAATGGGCGACGCCTAGACCACGCTGACCCAAAGACGTCCATGGCCAGGAGTCCATACGCCCGACAGAGCCAACAAAACGAATCGGCGACGACAAGCCAACCCACGAAGAGGAATGAACCGAGACAGCTGTCCGCCAGGACGCAGGACACACCCCGGACATGAACCTCATGGTTAGCCAAACCCCTGTGGTTCCGGCAAGAACCACCAGAGAACAGTCCGAACAGAGCTGAATGGTAGAGCACCTAGTGACCCAAACCCTCCGAAGCGCAAACCAGACAGCCACGAACACCTGAACCGTGCTGTGAGCCCGACGGACAGACAGACTCCATCAACCTCGGCCGACCTGGTGAGCACTGGTCACAAAGCCCCAGCCGAGAGACGACCCATCCGTGAACACATCGAGCGAAGGCTCGGGGAGGTGCCAAGGCGCGGAACCCCGAAAACCCCAAAGAGGAAGCTGGTGACGCAGCACCAACACAAGATCCCTGGAGGAACCCAATGAATGCAAGAGGCGGAAGGGGAGTCTCCGAAGGAACCAACAGACGCCGAAACCAAACCCGACTCCGCGGGCAGACAAGCACGCCGAAGTGCAGACTCCCGCACAACCGCCCAAGCAACCGCTGAGCAACCCGGGACCCCCTCCTGTACAGCCGAAGGCGGGACCACAGCCGCAGCAACACTTCTGGAAGGAAAGACAATGAGTGGCCCAATAGCCCTAAACAAGGCCCAGGTCCGAACCCGGGACAAAAACAGATGGAAAAACCACCAGATCACCAGGAAACCAAACCCGGCGATCTGGAAGGAACCATCCCCTGGCGAGCAGACAAGCGGACTGACTGGGAGCCCACACCAGCCAGTCGTCGAGGTAGGCCAGACACCGAATCTCAGACTCAGACAGGGCACTAAGATCCGGTAAAGATGCAAAAAGTATACGAAGTGCCCATTACAAAAGAGGGAAGGCAATAAAAACAGCAAACCTGAAGCCCCACCACCAACTGTGCCAGTCCCAGAAAACTGGAGAGGAACGTGCCAAGAAGTGACCTAGAGGTCCAGGGCCACCTTCCAGGCACCCGGCCCCAACAGAATCCGAACAGGAGACAACAGTCCTCCGAGGAGGGCATAGGATCCAGGGCGCATACTGAAGAAGTCCAGAAGAACTGCAGACGGGAAAAGCTCACGACTGCAAAGAGCAGACGGGAACCCCAGAAGGATGGGGCGGATCGACCACGCCCCACGCACCCACGAAGCAGAAATGACGAAGCGCAGGGGAAGAAGCCCACCCCGCCAGCTCTGAACCCCCCAAGGGGGAGAAGCCATCCACCGACGCCAGCAGAGGCCAGAAGACAACCCAAAGCGCCCACCAACAGCGGGACCATGCGAGAGGCAACAGAGCGAGCTGCTCCCCCAGTGCCCAGTCAACAGAGAAGGGAACAGAACCCCTTCCGAAAGAAAAAGTACACTACCTAATTCATGATAAGAGACTACGGGAAGTAAACCACACTTCGCTGGAAGACGAAGAGTGAGGGGGGACCTGATCACCACATTCAAGATTCCCAAGGGAATCGACAGGGTTGATAAGGACAGGCTATGTAACACAAGGGGCACACGCACAAGGGGACACAGGTGGAAACTGAGTGCCCAAAAGAGCCACAGAAAAAGTAGAAAGATTTTTTTTTTTTTTTTTTTTTTAGTGTCAGAATGGTAATTGGAAAGCACTAGGAAGTAATGTGGTGACTCCACACACAAGTAACGAGGCTGACCCCCATACAATGTCACATGTAGACATGATAGAGCCCAATAGGCACAGGAACCTGTACACCTGTTGATAGACGGTTGAGAGGCGGGACCCAAGAGCCAGAGCTCAACCCCCGCAAGCACAACTAGGTGAGGACATATATTGTAAAAGTACAAGTCGCCGACTAGTGGGCAGAGAGCACCACGCCGGCCAGGCAAAGAAGGCACAAAACTGCATCAAAAGGCCCACCTCGACAGCAAAACCGCAAAGTCCCAGCACGACCACAACATGTGCCAAGACCCAAAAAGATCAGTCTGCAAGCCAGGAAGACCCCGGAACCCCAGAAGGCAGAACCGGGTCACACGAGGAAACAAAGTCCCCTGAACCCACAAAAGGGGGCCCAAGAGGAAGAAACCTCCAGAACGAAACTAAGGAACCCAAAGGAACCCTGAATCGAACCAGGGGGAGCCCAAACCACCACATTTTGCTGGCGGAGAACACCACTGAAAGGCAAAGCACAGCCCCCAGCAGAACCCCCTGGGAAAATGGTCCCAACAGACCGAAAACCAAGGGACAAGGTGTGGGAGCAAGCATACCAGCCAGGGGCACTGAGCCTAAACCCATAGGCTCAGACCCAAAACAGAAAATTTGGAAAAACCCGGTGTAAAATCAACACCCAAACGTACCCAAAGGAACAGGCAATGGCAAGAAAACACCAGAAAAGCAAAGAAACGACAACAGGAGAACAAAAACCCTTAAAAAAAATGAAAAATCACCCGAGACGCTCGCTCGCACACCCAATCGCATGTAAACAAACCGCAACGCTGCCTGGGGGGCTCACCGGGAAACCGGCAGACGAAATGGCCGCCAGCAGGGGCTGTGACTGACGCTAAATACACAAAAACACGCCAGCAAATGTGGGAAGCTAGCAGACTGGATGGGCGAAAAACGCTGCCTAACAGCAGAAAACCCCCGGCAGGGGCAAAACCGCCCCAGAACTGCTAGCAGGCATCCCCCACAGCCCCGGGAACCAACAACAGAGGCCCCGGGGCAGAGCCGTCCTCCAAGCCCTCCGCCCTTAAAGAAAAGCAAGAGTCCATGGGAAAGGCAACAAGAAAGGGCTGCTGGTAAGACCCAGAAGCCTTGGCAGGAGGCACAGGCTCAAACCTCCGTCCCCAACCCGAACGGGGCAGCCCCCGAAAACCGCCAGAGTCTCTGCCGCAACTAAACCCCGCCCCGACCCCGAAACCCGCAGACGGTCCGGAGCTGGGAACATGGAGGGAAAGGGGCGAACAGCACCTAACCAAACGGGGCGGCCACGGGGCATTCGAGTGGGAAACCAACCTAGCATGTTGCAGCAACCTAACCTAGCTTGCAACACGGATGCCGCCTGTACTCTGAACAGTAATAACATCAGGAGAGTACTGGAGAACAAGCAGAGAATCTCTCGCAAGACTCAGGGTCAAGGTGTCAGTGACCCAACAGGCTGCATGACGGAGGTAAAAATGGCGACTGTCACCCGGAGACAAGGGAACAGCAACCAACGATCCCGTACAAGACGGGTTGGAACCCGGAAGACACATTCAATGGTCCCCCGAGCCCAGACAGGGGTTTCCAGGGCCCGTAGGGTTACAACTACGGGAAGCCCGGGCAAGGTGTTGCTAACCGGTTAAGAAACCCAAACATAACAAGAGGGTAGATTATAGCACTGAAAACCCCTGAGACGTGTACAATCACGGGGGCCTAGCAGAGGGCCGCCAAACACTACCAGTGGAACTAACCACCTTAGGCAGACCCCCCCAGGCAAGAAAAAATTAAAAACAAAAGAAAAACCCCGCAAAAGTACACCGTCTGCAGAGGCAACAGAATCCGGCCGCCGCTTAGGTGGCAGGCTGTGCAACACCTTGACGCCCTAACCAGCACAATACCAATCCCTACCCAGGACCAAACAAGGGCCCCAAGCCCCAGCTGGCCCCAAGGGCGAGGCAAATGCCGAGCAGCAAGAACCTCTACGGGAATGGTTCCCGAACGCCCCAGGGAAGATAACCCTGTTACGCAAGGGCAGTGCTCACAGGGCGCTTAGGGAAATCAGCCACTAAGCGCATGCAGCCCCGGTACTGATGAAGTACTCCTGGCCACCGCACAACACAACACACGGCAGTGAACGCCACACAAGGTAAACACCGCCTAGGAAACCGAGGCCAGAGAAGCGTCAATCTCGGTTGACATTAGCGAACAAACTGAAGCTTGGCAGCCGGCGCGGTAGGTCCGGGGCTCCCCCTCCCCCTCCCCCTCCCGGGGCGGGGAGGGCTGCGCGGACGATCGGCGCGGTAGTAAAGTGTGATGTTTGCTTGTTTCCTTGTGATTGTAGGGAGTTTCTACCTCTCTGTTCGTTTTTTTTGTTTTAGTTTTTTACCATGTGGGGTTTGTTTTGCTATGCCTACCTTTCTGGGTGCCTAACCCCGGTCGATGGCAGATAAGGAAAACCCCAACCACAAGGGGTTTTCCAGGGCCATTGCTCCCTGAAACCTCTCTGAAGGGGCGAGGTTCTGGCGCTGGTCCCTGGTAGGTCTGAACTCCTTAGCTAATGTCCCGGTCTAATATAACATACATTGGCCCGATAAGCTCCAGGGAGCCGTAGGAGCTCCCCACAGAAAAAATGTGGACATCTTCAAGAGAAAACTAGATTCAAGAAGTGCCAGACCAACTGGGCTGTGGTGGAAATGTGGGCCAGTGGGCCACTCCAAGAAACAGCCTGTTGGCTGTTTTTTGGAGGAGAAACAGATCTCAGAAGTCAAGTCTGGCCTCGAGCCGGGCTTGGGGAGTAAAAGAACTCCCTGGAACCCAATCAAGCAGGTAATATACTAAATATTTTCAAGACTTTTGTCAAACCTGGTAAATAAGACTTGTTCAGCCGCCAAAACAAACATGCGGGAATAAAAGCATCGATGGTGTACTTGCCTCTGGACCCACCTTGATGAGGTTTCTGCTTTTCTTCTTGGTGGTGGGTTTACGCTTGATGCGTACCAGAGTTGTTGGGGGAAGTGCTGGAAGCTTGCGAAGTTCTTCCAGCATTAATTCAGCCGCTCGTTTTTTGCTGACCTGTTTGTATATGAGGTATAATATATGATTTGTGAAGATGATGCAGTTTTTCTAGCCAAGGATGAGACAGATCTATGCAGATAACTTTATTGATGAGATATTGATGACTTTAAATACCCTTACTCCCTTTTTTCTGTAACTGAGTAATATAAATGTCTGTTTCCTCCTCTTTAATTATTCAATTATTTATCATCATCTTATCCCCACCCTTAGTTAATAACTAGTGATATAAATGTTAAAAACAAGTGGAGGAAACAAGAATACATTCAGTGAAATTGGAATAAACTAAAGCTTTTAAACCAGGCCAGCTTGGTTCACATTTCCTACCATCTTCAGGCACAGGACTTCATTATGCAGCATTCTCATGCTGTATGTGGACACTCCACTCAACAACTCCACTCCACTCAACACCTCCACTCCACTCAACACCTCCACTCCACTCCACTCCACTCAACACCTCCACTCCACTCCACTCCACTCAACACCTCCACTCCACTCCACTCCACTCAACACCTCCACTCCACTCCACTCCACTCAACACCTCCACTCCACTCCACTCCACTCAACACCTCCACTCCACTCCACTCCACTCAACACCTCCACTCCACTCCACTCCACTCAACACCTCCACTCCACTCCACTCCACTCAACACCTCCACTCCACTCCACTCCACTCAACACCTCCACTCCACTCCACTCCACTCAACACCTCCACTCCACTCCACTCCACTCAACACCTCCACTCCACTCCACTCCACTCAACACCTCCACTCCACTCCACTCCACTCAACACCTCCACTCCACTCCACTCCACTCAACACCTCCACTCCACTCCACTCCACTCAACACCTCCACTCCACTCCACTCCACTCAACACCTCCACTCCACTCCACTCCACTCAACACCTCCACTCCACTCCACTCCACTCCACACCTCCACTCCACACCTCCACTCCACACCTCCACTCCACACCTCCACTCAACACCTCCACTCCACACCTCCACTCCACACCTCCACTCCACACCTCCACTCCACACCTCCACTCCACACCTCCACTCCACACCTCCACTCCACACCTCCACTCCACACCTCCACTCCACACCTCCACTCCACACCTCCACTCCACACCTCCACTCCACACCTCCACTCAACACCTCCACTCAACACCTCCACTCAACACCTCCACTCAACACCTCCACTCAACACCTCCACTCAACACCTCCACTCAACACCTCCACTCAACACCTCCACTCCACTCCACTCAACACCTCCACTCCACTCAACACCTCCACTCCACTCAACACCTCCACTCCACTCAACACCTCCACTCCACTCAACACCTCCACTCCACTCCACTCAACACCTCCACTCCACTCCACTCAACACCTCCACTCCACTCAACACCTCCACTCCACTCCACTCAACACCTCCACTCCACTCCACTCAACACCTCCACTCCACTCAACACCTCCACTCCACTCCACTCAACACCTCCACTCCACTCCACTCAACACCTCCACTCCACTCCACTCAACACCTCCACTCCACTCCACTCAACACCTCCACTCCACTCCACTCAACACCTCCACTCCACTCAACACCTCCACTCCACTCAACACCTCCACTCCACTCAACACCTCCACTCCACTCAACACCTCCACTCCACTCAACACCTCCACTCCACTCAACACCTCCACTCCACTCAACACCTCCACTCCACTCAACACCTCCACTCCACTCAACACCTCCACTCCACTCAACACCTCCACTCCACTCCACTCAACACCTCCACTCCACTCAACACCTCCACTCCACTCAACACCTCCACTCCACTCAACACCTCCACTCCACTCAACACCTCCACTCCACTCAACACCTCCACTCCACTCAACACCTCCACTCCACTCAACACCTCCACTCCACTCAACACCTCCACTCCACTCAACACCTCCACTCCACTCAACACCTCCACTCCACTCAACACCTCCACTCCACTCAACACCTCCACTCCACTCAACACCTCCACTCCACTCCACTCAACACCTCCACTCCACTCCACTCAACACCTCCACTCCACTCAACACCTCCACTCCACTCCACTCAACACCTCCACTCCACTCAACACCTCCACTCCACTCAACACCTCCACTCCACTCCACTCAACACCTCCACTCCACTCAACACCTCCACTCCACTCCACTCAACACCTCCACTCCACTCCACTCAACACCTCCACTCCACTCAACACCTCCACTCCACTCCACTCAACACCTCCACTCCACTCCACTCAACAACTTAACTGTTTATTATTGAAGTTGAATTTGCTGAAATCTCTTCCACTGGGAATCGGGACTGGTTTTGAAACTCATCAACACAGTCGGCACATTACTACTATGCAACACCTGCTCTCATAGTTGGCAACACAACTCATCAACACAGTCGGCACATTACTACTATGCAACATCTGCTCTCATAGTTGGCAACACAACTCATCAACACAGTCGGCACATTACTACTATGCACCTCCTGCTCTCATAGTTGACAACACACAACTCATCAACACAGTCGACACATTACTACTATGCACCTCCTGCTCTCATGGTTGACAACACACAACTCATCAACACAGTCGGCACATTACTACTATGCACCTCCTGCTCTCATGGTTGACAACACACAACTCATCAACACAGTCGACACATTACTACTATGCACCTCCTGCTCTCATGGTTGGCAACACACAACTCATCAACACAGTCGGCACATTACTACTATGCAACACCTGCTCTCATAGTTGACAACACAACTCATCAACACAGTCGACACATTACTACTATGCACCTCCTGCTCTCATAGTTGACAACACACAACTCATCAACACAGTCGGCACATTACTACTATGCACCTCCTGCTCTCATGGTTGACAACACACAACTCATCAACACAGTCGGCACATTACTACTATGCACCTCCTGCTCTCATGGTTGACAACTCACAACTCATCAACACAGTCGACACATTACTACTATGCACCTCCTGCTCTCATGGTTGACAACACACAACTCATCAACACAGTCGACACATTACTACTATGCACCTCCTGCTCTCATGGTTGACAACACACAACTCATCAACACAGTCGACACATTACTACTATGCACCTCCTGTTCTCATGGTTGACAACACACAACTCATCAACACAGTCGACACATTACTACTATGCACCTCCTGCTCTCATGGTTGACAACACACAACTCATCAACACAGTCAACACATTACTACTATGCACCTCCTGCTCTCATGGTTGACAACACACAACTCATCAACACAGTCGACACATTACTACTATGCACCTCCTGCTCTCATGGTTGACAACACACAACTCATCAACACAGTCGACACATTACTACTATGCACCTCCTGCTCTCATAGTTGACAACACACAACTCATCAACACAGTCGACACATTACTACTATGCACCTCCTGCTCACATAGTTGACAACACAACTCATCAACACAGTCGACACATTACGGTACTACTATGCACCTCCTGCTCACATAGTTGACAACACACAACTCATCAACACAGTCGACACATTACTACTATGCACCTCCTGCTCACATAGTTGACAACACAACTCATCAACACAGTCGACACATTACTACTATGCACCTCCTCCTCTCATGGTTGACAACTAAACATGTGTAGCACACACAATAAGCAACTTACCTTCTTTCCTGTGCCTTCACCCTCAGTTTTGTACTCTCCGACTATGCATACTGTGACAAATGTTCGAACATGTGGAGGCCCAGATTCACGAATAACCTCAAATGTTACCGTCAAATTTCTCTTCAAAGCAATTTCGTGAACCAATGAAATTGGCGATTTCAAATCAGCATTTGGATCAAGATCAGAGAGATCTGTTAAGAGAAAAACAAATAGATTAGAGGCTGGCATGTAATTCAAGTCTAACCTGTACATAGTGACTTATGATGATGCCTGGGCACACCGGTGACTTATAAACCCCATATTCGAACATCACAGCATGATGACATAAATCACTAATTACATACAAATACTGCTGTCACAAAACTTTTCTAAAACCAATTAGGGTATTGCTTTAACAGCTCCATGTCAGTTTTAGCAACAATTGACAGGTAAGCTTTATAGCTTTCAAAAAATAATAAGGCTTACAAATTCTTGAAATGTAAGAGACTTTAAATTCAACTTAAATTCCTTATGAAAGGATATAACCTTTCAGACAATGGGAACATATACAACCTATATGATATATATATGTATAGGTATTTAATGATCAATACTGGAGAATATGCATCAACAGGGACTCAAGCAAGGTTATGCAAGATTTATAGCATTTTATGAATTTGAAAAACCCAGCATTAAATGTAATGAAATGGCTATTTCTGGAGTAGCCCTGATGGCTCCTTGAAGCTATCTTGTTAAGACAGCTCCATATTAACCCTTAAACTGCTAACTGTTAAAAAGCCGACATCCCCAGGGCACACAAGAAAAAAATTGTTCCGAATTTTTTTCTTGTGAAGCTTAGCCTTGTGAGTGAATTAGCCTTCTGGAAATACAAAAATCAAAATAAAGTCTCTAGCTCTTGTGGTTTAGCTGTAGTGGTCTGGAGAAGTCTCTAGCTCTTGTGGTTTAGCTGTAGTGGTCTGGAGAAGTCTCTAGCTCTTGTGGTTTAGCTGTAGTGGTCTGGAGAAGTCTCTAGCTCTTGTGGTTTAGCTGTAGTGGTCTGGAGAAGTCTCTAGCTCTTGTGGTTTAGCTGTAGTGGTCTGGAGAAGTCTCTAGCTCTTGTGGTTTAGCTGTAGTGGTCTGGAGAATTTGCAAATTTTTAGATAAAATGAGTTGAGGTGCCGCATAGCAATAACTTTGTTGATTTATTTTCAGTGTTTCTCACTTATTTATATAGTGTTTTCATGCTAACAGGTTGTATTTGTATGTCAAAGGTGCTGTCTATTATGAATATTTTGAAAATATAAGTATGTATGGATATACGAGTATAGATATATAGACACCCAAACAATTATTCATAATAATATGTATATTTATATAAGACAATCTTAAAATTGCAGCTAGAACACATTTTGCCTCAAATATATACATGATAATCACTCATTTGCTGTTGCTAAAAGTTCAGTGTCTCCTCTACGGCTGCCCTAAACGTTCAGACACTGGAGAGTGATGTCGCCAAGCAATGGTCATCATTTTCTTACTAAGGCCCTAGAAGGAAAGTGAGGGACTCTGGATTTTTTTTTAAAGATGGGGGGATGGTTACTAGTGGTCTGAGGAAGCAAATGTGAGCTTTATGTGCAGGACTATTTTAACTCTTAGACCGTGCATATTTCCGCGAATATAGGGGGCATTATAGCAAAAAATATTCAAATTATGTAAAAATAACTTAAAATGTTAAACAAATCAACTTATTGGCTTCAGTGTTGTGAAACTCATCAAAATATTTTCAGAAATTGATTTTGGACAAATTTTTTAAAAATAAGAATATTTTATTGATAAGAACAGCTGCTAATAACTGGAAGTGAAGGATTATGCAGTAATAGAGAGATGCAAGCACCTGTCCGACGCTCAAAGAAGAACAATAGTAGTAAGAAGTGTCCACAAAGTGGATATGCAGTTGGTGCCTTTATATCATTGCTGAGTAATACATAATAACACAAATAATAATGAATATGTTAATATGATCTATTTTGTTATATGTCATATAAATACATTATCTAATGTTATTATATGTTACTTTTATCAATGTCCCAAAAATATTTTTTTTAGGGAATTTTTTATTTTTTTATATTTCAGTTTTATCTTTGTTTATTATTTGATTTTGTTGTAACGTTTACATCCTGGAGGGTGCATGTGTTTCCCTAACTATGTCAAGACAATGAAATTGGTCAACAAATAAATCGGTCACAACTCGCAAAACTAGGGACTTTTAATTTTTTTTGGCTGATTTTTTCTGATTTCAAACTATTTTCTTTGTTTCTTTTTGTTTTGATGATTAGGGATCATATTAGAGCTTTTTCACTTATATAAAGTATACCCTAAATATATCCCTCCTAAACCATTATAATTGTTATAATTATCACTATATTTTGTGTTTTTGGGGGGTTATTTTTTCTTGACCATTTCAACACACATTGACCTACAACTTTCACATATTCGAGTACGAATGCCAAACAATGTTTATTAAAACATACAATTAAATTAATGAATTAAAACTACGTTTATTCATTGTTGATAACTTCAACTTCAATTATCTCTGAAACCAGAGTTTCAACTTTGAATGGTGTTACGACCCTGGGTTCTAATTTGGAAAGCAAGGGTCAATTTGAGTTCTAAATAATTGTATACATTAACTCATAGGATTGGATTACGTAAGAGGGATAGTTAATTAACAATAACATTTATACTCAGGGCTTCTCATACCTCTCAGGCGTCATGTTTCCGTCTTCCTTGCCAGACGTAAGACGAATCTTGTTTCTCACAGAACATTCAGACTCTGAACTTGTTGATTATTAAACATAAGATTGACCTAGTTATCAGCTATTCTTAGAATTGTTAAAGTAACTAGTAATAAAGGTCGGTGAAGACTTGTAAGGATTGTGGCTGTATGACCAGTTAGGTACCTTCCAGGCAGCATACTTAAGAGAGCTCGGTAGGCTGTTCTCCTCCTCTTCTCTGGGCGGCTGCTGTGATGTTTACACCTTCCATGTGGGCTCTGTTCTCCTCCTCCCACTTTCTTCTCTCCCTATACCCTATGTCCAAGTTAAGTATCTTTCCGTATTATTACCGTGCTATTGGTTAGGTGTAGGTTTAGTGATTTGTGTATTCTAAGCCAGTGTTTTGGTCTCTAAGTGTACTCTAAGGTGACTAGTGCATCCACGTGTGTTACAGTTTACCAAGGCTGCTTCAAGTCTTTACAAGTGCCCTTCAGGAAAGTAGTCTTTACCCTAGTGTTGCAATTGTAACCCTTGCATCCTGCTTATGTGGACCAAGGTGTTTAACGTAAGGTAGAGTGGTAAAGTGATTTATTGTATTTATGTATATGGGGGGTTATTAGAGGGTTTAACAAATAAGGATAAAGCTAGGAGTGTCTTTTCATCCTGTTTAGAGTGGAGTAGGTGATTACCATAGACGGCAGACGTTAGCCAAACAAGCATTCATTGCTGGGAATATTCTTCCCTGGGATCCAGGGCCTACCTATCTCCACTATTTTAGGAAATCCTTTGATTGTAACCATTGGCTCTCTTGGTACAACCTCCTGCCGCCTATAACAAGTGGAGGCCTGTCCGGGATCTGAATTTTTTTATATATAAATTGTAAAAAGTTAGATTTAAGAATGCCAAACTAAATTTTTTGCATTCCGCAGAACGGTTGTGTGGTAGCGTAGGGTCCAGGTCAACTAACAAAGGATACATCTTGCACTGACTGGACATCCAACTGGATCTCTTCACTATTGAGGTAAGTGTGGCCCTGTAATAGGGGCTGTATGAAATTTTTTTATTTTTTTCCTATTTTTATTTTTACTTTTGGCAAGTATCTAGAATAATTAATGATGGAGGCTAAATTGCAGGAACTGGCAAAGACACCTTCAGTGGTAGAGATTTAGAAACTAACCAAACCTAACTTAATATTGTTAGGCAATGAACTTGGTCTCGACTTAATTGAAGCTACTTAAAAGTGGGTCTTAACGAATGAAATTTAACAGCATTGCATAGACCAGGGCCTATTGGCAAGTGATACAATTTTATGACAGGCCAGTCCAGCTGAAAGTGGAGCTAGTAGGAATATAGTTAGAATTACAGCTAGCCCAATTAAGACTGGCAGAGCAAAATGCTAGAGTAGCAGAGCAGGAGGCAAAATTGGCAGAGCAAAATGCTAAAGTAGAGGAGCAAAGGCTCAAAAAACCAGCGTTGAATGTAATGAAACGCCATTTTCTGGGTGAGTCCCGGAGGCTCCCCGGAGCTATCCCAGGCTGATATGCTAATGTCAGACTTTGGCATCAGTCATGTGTATGGAGTTCTTAGGCCTACCGGGGACCACGGCCAGAACCGGGCCCCCCTCAGAGAGGCAAGGGGAGCAATGGCCTATAGAAGCCCCCGTGTAGTTGGAAGCATTCTATGTCTGCCATCGACCGGAACAGGCACCCAGAAAGATAAGCGCCCCAAAACAAACCCCTATTCTGGTTAAAATTGCTACCTAAAACCGAACTAGTGGATAGAACTCCCCAACCGAAAACAAGCAAACTAGTGTGACGTCACACACTGCGCGCCGCTGTCTGCGCAGCTCCCCCTCCCCGGGAGGGGGAAGGGGGAGCCCCAGACCCCCCGCGCCGGCTACCCACACCTCAGTTCTTGAGGCTGGATGTCAAAAACGCGAAAAAACCGCCGACCGGAGGGAGGGAGGGAGGGATGCCGGGGAGCCTCCGGGACTCACCCAGAAAATGGCGTTTCATTACATTCAACGCTGGTTTTCTGGGGGGAGCCCCGTCGGCTCCCCGGAGCTAACTACCCACAGACAGAAAAAGAGGGACTTACCCGGGAGGCGGTCGTCGCTCACCCCTCAACTCGAAGCCGAGACAACTGGCTGCAACCGCCGACCCAAAGCAACACAGGCCCGACGAGGCCCAGGGACATTCACAAGGTAACGAGCAGCCAGGACCCTGTTCGACCGCCAAAATCCCCGCGCCCGAATATCAGACCAAGACATATTCCCAAAGACGGCAGCAAGAGCCGCGAACTTACGAACGTCATGGGCACGGGGATAGACCGCAGGCTGGCTGGACCTAATAACCCTGCGGACGACCTGAGAGACCCGAACCCGCGAACAGGGAAGAAGGGAAACCGGATCAACCCACAGCGCGTCCCCGGACACAGAAGCTGTGGCGCGCAAATAACGGCGAAGCGCCGCAACCGGACACAAAACATGATGCACCCCCGGCCTGACCAACCAAG